TCCTTGTGGGGAGATATCAAGCGGAGAAGGTTAATATTCACATTAGATCTCGAATTAAGTCAAACATTGAGAATCGACTTGTTTTGCATGTTATGAGGGTTATAAGTAACCAAAATGTTAAGACTTTGTGGGCGAGGAACCGAATAGTGTTGTTTCCGAACGAAAGGGAGTAGGTAGACAAAATTTCATTAAAACGTATTTAAAGTCCGTATTATTTTGTATTAGGATATATAAGGTATCCCCAGATATTTGGCATTTTTATGGCTTTAGAGACATTATATAATTAAAATTGATATTTGGATTTCGTAATAGGTCCCACTCGTTTATATAAGTCCACATTTTAATATATTACTCATATATCGGTATCCCACGCCATTTGGTTTTTGAATAATTTTTACACATTTTTCTGTAGAATTGTTTGAAATATAGTCCTTGGAGTTCCAGCAGTTACTGCTAATTTTCTTAATACCAGATATAGCATACGCCGCTCAAAAAACTGCGCATCACCACTTATAATTATACTAGCTAGAAGAATAAGTGAAATTTTGCATAGATTATCTACAGCTAGATTTAATTTTACATTTTAAAGCCTAATGGATATAACAGATCTATTAAATGTTAGATATGCCAAGGTATTATAAAATTCATGTTAAATAGTTCAACAACATTTTCCAATCAAATGGGCTGTAACTTGGAACGATTGATATTAAAATGGTATAAATCAGTCTCGTTTTGGTATAACTCCCATCTAAGTGTATCTTACAGCATTCGTCGATTCAATGAGTCTCAATTCTTGCATATAACTCCTATATAACGATACCGCCAGATACTTGGTATTTTGTATCTGCATCTTTCAATAGAATCGTCTACAAATATGCACACGAAGTTCATATCGGTTGCTATAGGTCCGGGTGTCGGGTGCTATCATACAGCCTCCATATAACGGTATCTCCCAATTTTCGGTATTTTGATGATTTTGCCAACATTTTCAATGGATTTTTCTGATGTTGTTCTTTCAAAAGTATGTATATTTGTTCGTAATAATATCCTACCAATATGCTTGCTCTTAATATAAAGAATTGATGCGTTTATTTCGACTTCTTACGGTAGTCTAGAATTATCTTGCAATAATGGATTTATTTGGATTATATTTTTCAAAATTGCTATATATATATATATATATATATATATATATATATATATATATATATATATATATATATATATATATATATATATATATATATATATATATATATATCTGTAACAACGATATTCAGGGAAATATATATAATACAGCTCAAAAATATCTTTGCCAAATTTGATCGAGATCGGTTTTGATTTGGATATAGCTCCCACATATATATGTTTATCCGATTTTAAATTAATTGTGCACCAAATGGGCAATGCAAGTCCGAATTTAAAAGATACAAATGCTTCGGCATATTTAGTCCTTTGGACTTTAAATTATAATTATAATCATAGCGTGTATGATTGAATTTTCCATAAAAACTTTTAATTGTTATGCGCAGCTCTACTAAATTAGCAAAGTGGTGTAGGGTATCATAAAGTCGGCCCCGCCCGACTTTAAGACTTTCTTTACTGTTTTATTTCTTATTTTTATACCCTACACCACAAGATGGTCATGGTATTATGCCTTTGTGCATTTGTTTGTAACAGGAAAAAGGATGATCTGTATAGAATCACATTCTGAGTCGATTTATGCATGTCCGTCCGACTGTCCATGTATTTTTATACCCTCCACCTTAGAAAGGAGGGCATATTAACTTTGTCATTCCGTTTGTAACATCCTTAAATATTCGTCGTAGAACCCATAAAGTATATATATTCATAATCAGCATAAAATTCTAAGTCGATTTAACGATTTCCGTCTGTCTGTCTGTTGAAATCACGATACAGCCTACATTATTTAACGTAGAGCGCCAAAGTTTAGCAGAGCAATTGGTATTGTGTCTAGGATGGTTGGTATTGAAAATGAGATATAACGGTCCACGTTCTGGTATAGTCCCCATATAACGGTACCTCCCGATATTCGATATTTTGATGATTTATGCCACATTTTTCACGGATTTGTCTGAAAATTGGTATTTGTAGGTCATAACGGATCCCTGTACGTGTGGCAAAACATTGCACGTTTTGGTATAGCCCCCATATAACGGTACCTCCCGATATTCGGTATTTTGATGGCTTTTGCCACATTTTTTCACTGATTTGTCTAAAAATTGGTATTTGTGGGTCATAATGGGTCCTAGTTCGTGGGGCGAAACATTGTATGTATAGGTCCACGTTTTGGCATAGTCCCCATATAACGGTACCTCCCAATATTCGGTATTTTGATGATTTTTGACACATTTTTTACGAATTTCTCTGAAAATTTGGTAGTTGTAGATCATAATGGGTCCCAGTTCGTGTGGCGAGTCATTGTAGTTATAGGTCCACATTTTGGTATAGCCCCCATATAACGGTATCTCCCGATATTCGGTGATTTGATGATTTTTGCCACATTTTTTCACGTATTTGTCTGAAAATTGGTATTTGTAGGTCATAATGGGTTCTAGCTCCGGTGGCGAAACCTTGCATGTGTAGGTCCACGATTTGGTATAGCCCCCATATAACGATACCTCCCGATATTCGGCATTTTAATGGTTTTTGCCACATTTCTTCTAATGTTTCCTTTACCCTAAGGTGGTATTAAAAGTTTGGCCCGGCCGAACTTAATGTTCTTTTACTTGTTGTAAACAAAGTACAGTTCGCATTTAATGCCCTATCCAGATGAAATTTTGCACAAATCATTTGTTTCGCCCAAGGACGAACCCTATTTAAATTGGAGATAATCGGTCAAAATTTAGATATAGCTAAGTATAAATAAGTATGCCAAATTTGATCGAAATCGGTTCAGATATAGCTATAGCTCCCATATATATTGTTCATCCGATTTGTTATTTTTGGCCTCCGCAGCCGTAATATGCACTCTGTAACAACAATATTTGGGGAAATCTATCAAATACAGCTCAGAAATTTTATCGAGATGGGTTCAGATTTGGATATAGCTCCTATATATAACTTCGTCCGATTTACCTTTTATTGTGCACCAAACGTATAATATTTGTCCAAATGGGATGGAATTTGGCACTTACGACCGAATTGACTCTAGAAGTTAGTATCTCAAATGTGGTGGAGATCGGTTCAGATATAGCTATAGCTCTCATATATACTGTTCATCCGATTTGTTATATTTGTTACCCCCAGCCGTAATATACACTCCGTAACAACGATATTCAGGGAAATATATCAAATACAGCTCAGAAATATATTTGCTAAATTTTATCGAGATCGGTTCCGATTTGGATATAGCTCCTATATATATATTTATCCGATTTCAAATTAATTGAGCACCAAATAGACAATACAAGTCCGAATTTAAAAGATACAAATGCTTCGGCATATTTAGTCCCTTGAACTTTAAATTATAAATATAATCATAGCGTGTATGAGTGAATTCTCCCATAAAAAACTTTTAATTGTCATGCGGAGATCTACTACATTAGTAAAGTGGTGTAGGGTATCATAAAGTCAAGAAATGTTCCAGCTTTCTTGGTAGCGCATTCGATATACATGTATTTTTCTGTTTTTGTATTTTTCGATATAAATGAAGATGTATTGAACGTGACTCAACTCTAAAATATATATATGAGGAATTCATACAAGAATGACAGTCACATGATACACTATATTCAATACTTTGATAGCTCGAACTATATATAACTCCATCTTGTGTTCTCAAGCCTCAAAGTACAAATACGCTCTTAGTGCTTACAAAGATGTACAAATATGCTCTTGGTGCCTACATTTAAAAACGTATTTAAAAACGTATAAAAATTCTGAAAGCAATTGATAAACTGAAATCGCCACAAGCCAGAATAAACCCGAGCATTCTAATTGAAATTGGCAAAATTCAGAACAAAATATCGTTTTATTTAGTCTGTCTTTGTAATCACGCTAAATTTTCAAAACGAAAATTTTGCACAGATCAGTCTTTTGTCGGCCCACGATATCGTATATTCCCATATAACGGCACCCCCGATATTCGGTATTGTGATGATTTTAGTCATATTTTTCAACGGAATTGCTTGAAAATCCACACAAGGAGTTCCTTATGAGTTCTTTATCCCTTAGAAGAAAATTATTTATGTAGGTCCACGATATCGTATATTCCCCATGCAACGGTACATCCCGATATTCCGTATTTTGATGATTTTAGCCACATTTGTCAACGGAATTGTATAAAAATTCACACAAATAGCTCTTCTCTAGAAGAGAATTTTTTATATAGGTTCACGATACCGTGAACCTCATATTCGGTATTTTGATGATTTTAGCCATATTTGTCGACGAAATTGTCTAAAAGTTCACACAAGGAGTTCCGTGTAAGTACTTTATCCCCTAGAAGAGAATTATTTTTACAGGTTCACGATATCGTATATGACCCACATAACGGCACCTCACGATATTCGGTATTTTGATGACTTTAGCCACATTTGCAAACGATATTTGATGATTTTAGGTACATTTTTCAATCGAATTGTCCGAAATTGCATAGAAGGATATATATATATATATATATATATATATATATATATATAGAAAATAGAAAATAGAACTACCCTATTCCCTCAGAAAGAATCATTGCAATCTGTCGTCCGTACTAATCTAAGTTGTTTTGAAAATGTATACTAACAAATGACAAATGAAGTAATCATAACTTAATCAAAAAATATGAAAGCTCACTCTAAGTGATTTTAAAAGATCGCTTACTTACCAGCATGGTACAATTAAATATATATATATATATATATATATTATATACTTCTTCATTTTAATTTATTAATAAATGTGGCGTATATGACTGGATAAATTTACAAAATAACAAATATTTGTAATTGAATTTAATTTAATTGTGATTTCTGTATTTGTTTCAGATAACTTACGGCGTTACTGTTGATTTATTTGCAATATCGCACTTTAAATAATATATTATACAATTGTTCGCTTACGACATTGCAACGTTCACCAAATCACCATAATAATAAATGCTTTTGTATTGGACCGACAAGGACAATTTAATACAAATGTATATTATAACAATTGAAGTATCGCACTGAGCTATAAAATATTGCCGGGGAATTACTTGGCCCGTTTAAACAATTTATGGCTATTTTTGAAATATTTCACTAGATTTAAACAAACCTTTTAAAATAAGAGCGAGAAGAGGCAGAAATATCATAGACAAATAAACGTATAGACAAAAAAGTCTGTTATCTTCAAAAATAGATATCGTTCATGCTGGGAAAAGAACTAAAGTCTGTTCACTTAATTTTCTCAATATACATTAAAAAATACCAAATGTTTTTATGATTTATTAATATGTATCAATGGAAAACAAAATATACAACTACAAACATACAACTTATAGACCCATATCATTATTGTTTTATTCTGCTGAAACATTAAACTTTTTATTACATACCAAGAAAAGGAAAAAAGGGTGATGTCTGTGTGTTCGACAAAGCAATTATTTTTTATATTCTTTACTATAAGATGTTTGTTATTCCGTTTGTAATCGAAAGAAATAATCACTTAAGACTAAATGCAAAGTATATGTATTCTGAATCACAGCAAAATTTTACGACGATTTATATATATTTGACTGACATCTTGTGGTAATCATCACAATTTTGATAGACCTAATTTTGTTTTTATATATATATATTTTTTTTTTGTTAATAAACAATGAAAAATGTTAAAAAAAGTTACAGAATAGGCTCACTGGTAAGGTATAGAACCGTATTTATCTATGTTAAGTTAATGTAGAAAACGTGTTGCGTGTCGGATTTGTTGTTCTTCAAAACGCAGGGTATTATGTCTTTGTGCATTTGTTTGTAACAGGCAACAGGAAACGAGATAGACCCATAGTTCCTTTTAATGATCTGCATAGAATCACATTCTGAGTCGATTTATGCATGTCCGTCCATCCGTCTGTCCATGTATTTTTGTAAACAAAGTACAGTTCGCATTTATTGCCCTATCCAGATGAAATTTTGCACAAATCATTTGTTTGGCCCAAAGACGCTCCCATATATATCTTCGTCCGATTTGCCTTTTATTGTGCACCAAACGTGTAATTATCAGTCCGAATAGTATGGAATTTTGCACATACAACCAAATTAGGCCTGAAAATAAGTATGCCATTTTTGATCGAAATCGGTTCAGATATAGCTATAGCTCCCATATATATTGTTCATCCGATTTGTTATATTTGGGGAAATATATCAAATACAGCTCAGAAATACATTTGCTAAATTTTATCGAGATCGGTTCAGATTTGGATATAGCTTCCATATATAACTTCTTCCGATTTACCTTTGATTGTGCACCAAACGTCTAATATTTGTCCAAATGGAAATTTGGCACTTACGACCGAATTGAGTCTAGAAGCTAGTATGTCAAATTTCGTGAAGATCGGTTCAGATATAGCTATAGCTCCCATATATACTGTTCATCCGATTTGTTATATTTGCTACCCACAACCGTAATATGCACTCCGTAACAACGATATTCAGGGAAATATATCAAATACAGCTCAGAAATATCTTTGCCAAATTTTATCGAGATCGGTGCCGATTTGGTTATAACTCCCATATATATCTTTATCCGATTTCAAGTTAATTGTGCACCAAATGGGCAATACAAGTCCGAATTTAAAAGATACAAATGCTTCGGCATATTGAGTCCTTTGAATTTTAAATTATAATTATAATCTTAGCGTGTATGATTCCCATATATATCTTTATCCGATTTCAAGTTAATTGTGCACCAAATGGACAATACAAGTCCGAATTTAAAAGATACAAATGCTTCGGCATATTTAGTGCTTTGAATTTTAAATTATAATTATAATCTTAGCGTGTATGATTTAATTCTCCCATAAAAACTTTTAAATGTTATGCGGAGCTCTACTAAATAAGCCAAGTGGTGTAGGGTATCTTAAAGTCGGCCCCGCCCGACTTTAATTCTTTCTTTACTGGTTTTATTTCGTTCAGTGTTTTAGATATATAACCAAGATTTGTGTAACTACCACTTTACAGATATTATTTCGACCTGTTCCCGTTTAGCTGGAAATATAGGCAGCGATTATTAACATGATCATAAAATCAAAAATATTTATTATTTTTTGCTAATACAATATTTATTCGTATTTTTATTATAACAGAAACATAAATACCAGATATTTATAAAACGTTTCGTAGTATTTATTTGGAATTATGTTTTTTTAACTAAGTCTCTTATACCACATTTTTTAATATCTTATGTACATATGTAGTATATCCCTTTAAGCAGAACGTAATCTAAAATAAATAGAAACGGAAAATATTTTAAAGAACAAGAATATGCTAAGAAATATAAACTTACTAGTTACTATTCCAATACTTAGGCTTTATGTTTGCATTTGCTGAATGTGTTAACTTTGTTGATATGTACATGGAGGCAAAAAGTACGAAAAATATACATTTCTAAACGTGTAGTTTCAAAAAATTACAAAAGATGTTAAAAAAATCTTCGTTCCACAATGTTTCAAAAAATGTCAAGTCCACTAAAGTTGGAATTTCTCAACAATTTTGTACATCTACCTCTACCGTAATTTAATAAAGTGATGCTTAAATGCATCAATTCTGCCTACCTGATAAAATGCAAAATCTGTTAAAACTGTCGACAAATAGGTATTTCTTTTTCAATAATTTGCAAAAATTACTTATTTTTCAAAATTGGGAAATTGGCGTTTTCATTTCATTACTTTCAATATGTTTACTATCGAAATATCGGATATAGATGGTACCAACACCAAGCTTCTCAGAGTCATAATTTTGCCAACAATCTTTCCCTAAGTGGCATATATAGTGAACACTAGTCACATATATGACTTAGACTTAATATTTCCTGATATATAGAAACAAGCAACAAAATATACCGAATTACTAAAACAGATAACTAAGGTCATGGAAACCTTGACTTACAAACATTTTAATAACCACATCTCTTTTAACGTTTTACTAACCCAACTTCGATGAGGAATTTGAAAATCTCAGATGTTGAAATCTTTGTTGTTGGAAAATAGTCAAGCTTAATTCCATAGTTGAAACAGCATTTTTTTATTAGTGCAAAAAGGTGGTAATGTTTACAACAATTATGGTGTTAAACCTGACTATTTTGCAACAACACATACTACAGTATCCCGGATAAAAATGCCAACACTCTTCTATTAATAGAGAATGCCCCGTCGACGAAGGGGTTTGTGTTTTAACAGACAAAACGAACTTACATGGTTATGCTATTTCATTCAGGTAAACGAATGGATAATAAGTGGAGAGAGATGAACATGTTCATAATTGCGGTTGTAAGATTTAGAAGGAATTCCAAAAAAAATTTACTTTAATTCAATTCTTTGGTTCCTCTTCTGCTTTGCTTACTATCTCGTCACTTGGGTTAAAAAAGTTATTAACAATAAAACTTTTGCGCAGGTTTAGGGAATATATATATATATATATATATATATATATATATATATATATATATATATATATATATATATATATATATACATATATATATATATATATATATATATATATATATATATATATATATATATATATATATATATATATTTGGGAAAGAATACAAGAGATTTTTATTATAACGTAGTATTAACTGTATTTCATTTTCATTTTTATATACTATTCTTATGCTTGAATATACCAATAGCACTAATTCATAAGAAATTTATTGTAATTGTGTTAGGCTTAAATCGAATACATAAATAAAATCCCATATAGAAAGTATAGAAAAATCGGTGACGAAAACAATGTGTGTTTTTATCAGGAAAATTTTCGAACCATTGTGCGCCGTTTGTAGGGAATCCGCGCTCCACTTTTTTTTTATCAGTGGGGGATATAGTCAGGGAGCAGTAAAGCTATTCAATTATTACATAAATCTTAGAATGATCATGGCTTTTAGAATACAATACAAAATAAGTGCGTAAGGCTGTTTTTGAGAAAAAAAAAGTGGAAAATAATTAAGAATTACTTTTCAGATGGGGTTTTAATGTAATCAAATTCAACAAGTGAAAGTCCTGCAGACAAAACACAGATTTGAGTAAATTTTATCAACCTACTTCAATTTACTCGGAAGCTAGAGTGATTTCCACAAACAGACGGTTTCCCAAATATTTTTTGTGTATTCAATATCTCTTCTCTATATATCTATAAAAGAGGAAAATGTTTGTATGTGTGTTTGTTTGTTTGTTTCGAAAACCGCTGAACAGATTTTCCTGAAAATTTGCATGTACACTGCAACATCGCCTGAAAGTAACATAGGCTATATACATTTCTGAAATTCCTCTAGGAAGTGGAGATATAGCATCAGAATCGGAGGTACCTTCCAAAAATTTAGATTTTGTATGCTATCTATTGATCGATTACAGATACAGTCTCCAAATTTGGAATGCGTCACGGAATTTGGAACAAAAATAAATTTGCCAAATTTGATTGAAATCGGTTCAGATTTGGATATAGCTCCTATATATATTTTCGGCCGATTTCAAACATTTGATGCACCAATCACGCTATGTATCCCAAATTTCAATGATATTTGAAACGTATGATGGATTTTACTTAAAAAATTGATTTCCCAAATTATATTGAAATCGGTTCAGATTTGGATATAGCTTCAAAAAATATTTTCGACCGATTTCGTTCATTTGATGACTCAAACAAGATATGAATGTTCGATTCCAATGAAATTTGGAATGTGTGACGGGATTTTGATTAGAAAATAAATTATTCAATTTATATTAAAATCGGTTCAGATTTGGATATAGCTCTCATCTATATTTTCGACCGATTTCATGTATTTGGTGCACCAAACACGATATGTATGACCAATTTTAATGAAATTTAAAATAAGCAACGAAATTGGGAGCAAAAATGAATTTGTCAAATTATATTGAAATCGGTTCAGATTTGGATATAACTCCCATATATATTTTCGACCGATTTCATGTATTTGATGCACCAAACACGCTATGTATCTCTAATTTCAATGAAATTTGGAATGTGTAGCGGAAATTAAAACGAATATACATTTGTCAAATTATATTGAAATCGGTTCAGATTTGGATATAACTCCCATGTATATATTCAACCGATTTCGTTTATTTGATGCACCAAACCAGTATGTATGTTCGATTCCAATGAAATTGGGAATGTGTGACGGGATTTTGATTAGAAAATAAATTATTCAATTTATATTAAAATCGGTTCAGATTTGGATATAGCTCCCATATATATTCTCGGCCGATTTCACATATTTGATGCACCCAAAGCGAGAGAGACGAAATCTGGCACCAGAAAAAAATTGCCAAATTATATTGAAACCGGGGGGGTTGGTACAGCTAACATATATATTTCGGCCGACTTCATACATGTTATGCACCAAATACGATATATATGACCGATTCCAATAAAATTCAGAATGTGTGGCGGAATTTGGTTATAATAATAAATGTGATAAATTAATTGGAAATTAGTTAAGATTTGGATATAGCTCCCATATATATATTCTCGGCCGATTTCACATAGTTGACGCACCAATTTCAATAAAATATGAAAGTTGTAGCGAAATTTGGTGTAAAAGAAAATTTTTGTAAAATTATATTTAAATCGGATCAGATTGGGATATGATTTTAATAAGAACCATTGACCTACAACGCCTTAGGCTAACACTAAAAAACAACACAACAATTAATTTGAAATACGCTTATTACGGGGAAGTATGTTGCTATCTCGAATTCACTAATTGCAATAGAAATGCCACTCAACTTCAAAAAATTGCAGTTTCCTGCACGCTTGGTATTTGCCATGAAATAAATAAATCCAAAGGACAAACCCTTCATGTATGCATGTCATGTTACTGCTGTTCTATTGGTTTTGTTTATTAACGCATTAAAGTAGTGCAATTTTTTTTTTTAATTTTTAAATTTGTTTTTTTTTTTATCCAACATATATTCGTAAATAAAATTTTGAATGCATATAAAATCAAAAGAGGTAGCGAAGCGCACTGGGTTCAGCTAGTTGAATATAAAATAATAGCACAATTGTTGCAATATTAACTTTATAAGATCGCTATGGGGTTCAATGCTCGTTAATTCCCTCTCAAACCAGAAATATGCAATCGATTGTTTCTCGTCGTCTGGATGTAAATATGCACGTTGCAAAACAGTCAGTCCTTAATGATTTTGCGGTCTCCAACAGTGATTGTTGCAATTTTTTTTTGTGGTGCAGTGCTACTTAAATTATTTTCTATAGTCCACATCTTTAGAGTTTTCTCTAGAAATATCCGGCCAATGGATACAACTCCTAGACAGCGCATTTAAACGATCTCTTTATGATCTTAAGACCGTCAATCGAAATGTAAATAAATTGAAAATAGAAACAGTAATTTTATTTTTGCGTAATTTTACCTGTTGGTACAACAATGTTAACGTCACCTAGAAATAAATTGCTGCAGTTGTGTTTGTTCTCATTTAGATGTCTAAAGAAAATTGCCATTCCTTCTAATACAAAAATTATAGATTTGATCGGATTTGTCTTTTTAGACTAAAGGGATACTTTTAAATTATTTTAAACAGGAATTCTGACTCAAACATTTAATTACGCAATTTTTATATAATTTCTTTGCTTTCTTTTTTTTGCTCAGCTTTACACAATTTTGAAAAAAAAAGTTAACAGTAAAAATGTTTTCAAATTCTGCCAAATTGAAAATTTATAGCAGCATAGTTGAATCAGTTAGTGGTAAAAAAATATTCCGTTGTTTCATGGTTGTAACAAGTGATATCAGAGTGTATAGTATAACCCGTCCTCCATATTTTCCAACAGATTTTTATGGGTATTTCGTGCATTCCATTCAACGGAATGAAATTGGTTCTCCGACGTTATTCATCGTTTTCTTCCTTTCTTTTTTTAAGCTGAGCCAATACTTTCGGAGACATTCTGCTCCACGATATTTGATAACCTTGGAAGCTATCGCAAGCTGGACGATTTTAGTCAGTGAAGTGTTAAATTCTCACTTAGTGGCAAATTCACCAAATGTTGGCTAATATTATCTGATGAAAGAGCTCTAAAGAAGCTTTCACCACCTGATCCTTGGGAAGAGTTTGGAATGTTTATTACTATTTGTGAATGTTCTGCTGTGATATAGTTGTTTGAATTCGAATTAGTATTAATTTTAATTAATATTTTTACTTGGAACTGACAAAATATTGTTGAGGATCCACTTTATAACAACCCATATAATTCGGTTTATGACATTTTAGAAACATGGCCGTTCAGATGAAAAATATATCTATCAATGCAATCAAACATTTGTATACAAATGCGTGTAGACGTGTATCTATATCTTATGTTTAAAATTCTTTCCGGAAGCTACTGAATCTGCACTGGCGCACCCTCCTTTAAGGTGGTAGTAAATAGAAAGAGCTTTAATTTAACGTCCTTGCGAATTTCTCGTCTTATTTTGATCATGTATTTAAATTGAATGAAGGGACCCCATCTTAACCTATAAGGGATTTCATGCAGTTGTATCTTTCTTTGATTGGAGTGGTTTAACAGCATCAGATAATTGATTTATTTTATCGCTGTCTTTCCTGCAAATTGTTTTTACGGTTGTATACTTAATACAAAGAAAAGGAAATTCCACGATTAGTGGTGCCAAACGCTAATCAGATCAAATTTAACAGTTTCAAAAATGCAAATCAACTCCAACGGCTCATCGACGTAAATCGGGCCCTAATGTACTTATGTATAGACTAAATTCGGTAAAAATTTATAAAATGTGGGCATACAGACGGACGAAAATACATAAACCGACTCATAACTTGATTCTATGAAGATCATTAAAATAAATTAAGAGTCTACAAGTTGATATTTGGTGTTAACAATAGGTACTATCTTTTTGTAAATTCCCCACATTTGGCATTTGGAGTTAGACCAAAATTTACCTTTACCAGAAATTTACCTATGAAGGCCCACATCTTCGTATATCCCCATATTATGATACCTTCCGATAGTCGGGTATTCAAAGGAAATATCTCAGAATTGGCATTTGAATTTCGCAAAGATCTTTTGTGACACATAATTGGTCTCCAGGTCCACTTTTTAGTATACTCCCCATGTAACTGTACCACCCAATATTCGGTATTTTAATAAATGAAGCGACATTTTTTCAGGGAACGTTTTTGCAAGTTGATGGAGGATATTTAGCTGCTGCTTCTTTACTTGTTTGTAATTATAACACAGCAAAGAACTAAAATAATTAAATTAAACCTAGAAATAAATTGCTGCAGTGGTGTTTGTTCACATATATCAAAATATATATCAAAAATATATTCATTGAAATTTGTCATTCCTTCTAATACAAGAATGTAATAAATGGAGTAGACAGATTTGATCGGATTTGTCTTTTCAGACTAAAGGGATGCTTTTAAATTATTTTAAACAGAAATTCCTATTCAAACATTTAATTACGCAATTTTTACATAATTTCTTTGCTTTCTTTTTTTACTCAGCTTTACACAATTTTGAAAAAAAAGTTAACAGTAAAAATGTTTTCAAATTCTGTCAAATTGAAAATTTATAGCAGCATAGTTGAATCAGCCACAACTGAAAAAAATTCTGAAAAAATATATTCATTAACACATGTGGCGTATATGACTGGATACATTTTCTATTATAAAAAATATTTATTATTAGACATTTGGTATTTAATGAAATGTTTGTTTTCTTTTCTTTTCAGATTGGTAATGGTGGTGCTATATATTTAGTTTTATACATATTTGCAATATCGCACTTTAATCAAAATTTAATGTCATCGACGAGTTTTTTATTTTAATGCAAAATAATGTTATACCAATTGAAGTGTCGCACTGTACATTAAAATATTACAGTGGTGATTTAGATTTAGTTTCATACATATTTGCAATATCGCACTTTAATCAAAATATAATGTTATCGAAAAGTTTTCTATTATTATGCAAAATAATGTTATACCAATTGAAGTGTCGCACTGTACTTTAAAATATTACAGTGGAATTACCTGATTCCCTTATTTTTTTTTCCTTTTACAGTAAATAAAATCGGAAAGAAGGAGCAAAGCCAAATATTTTGTATATTGAATTTATTATTTCTTCAAAAAGCTATTTTATGCTTACAGATTGTTGTATGTCTGAACAGTTTTTATTTAAAGTTACTATTGACATACAGAAAAGTAAATTCTATCGCATTGGAAAATTAAAAAAAAAAAAAAAAAACAAACTACTTGTCTTGGCAAAAATTTACTTAATTAATTCTTAGATTCATGTCGCGATACAATTTTCAATTAAATTATCTCATTTAGATTCTCTCCAAATTGCACTTTTCAATATTTTTAATTTAATTTATTTATACATACGATTCACATTTTCAGAAAACGTAAAAAACAAATACAATTCAACCTAACCACATATATAAAAAAATAATTTTTTTTATATTTTATCAATGAAATATAATTTTCTATAAATATTTTTCCACAACATGCGGTGAAAATCTCTGAATACTAAGGAAAATGCATTTAATGAAAAATGTACATATGCACTTTATTCATGTATTCCACAATTTAAATGGTTTCTATGTATTACATGATATGCTTAACTTCTAAATATGGAAAAAAAATTTACTGTCACTAGCGTCATATGTACTCCCTGGTAAAGTAAAAGGAGTGTTTGTGCCTTAATTCTTTGTAGCACACTTTTGAAACGATTAACCGCGATATTTTACCGATCATAAAGTATATATTTCATTGAAGAATCACAAAAGATGAAGTTTTCGGTTTGTAGCTTTCCAATTATTCTCCGAATGAAAGTATCGGTATAGTTTCTCATGGTTTATTGGCCACAACCTTAGCTATAGGTATATCGATGGAGGTGGTGGTTACAATTACAAATATCTAACGATTGCAATAAACACGAAGATTGTTGTTGCCTGTCCCCGAAATCTACTTGAGACAAAAATAATAACAGTTTTATTTCGAATAATACTACACTAGGGTGATCGTTAATACAACACATCCCCAATGAGTGTTAAAAGGGGATGCAATGGTGTGCTGCGTTCATCCGCTATATAAAAGCTCTCAGGAATTACAGGACTTGAACAAGTTCCGATATAAAAAGTAAGGTGGCCAAAAGTAATCATTCTATCAGAAAATTCTATAAATTTTGTCTTAATTACAGCCAAAAACATCGTAATGTCTCTCAAGTAAATATGCATGTTCAAATTGTCGCAAAAGTAAACTTCCCATGTTTTTTGACTGTAATTAACCCATTAGGGGCCAATCGTAAAATTTATAGCATTTTGAAATTTATAGTATTTGACATAAAAAACCTTTAAAATTTTTGGAGTGTGAAGTACATTTTCAGTAGATTATCAAAAAAACTATTTTGATCTGTGTCATTGCGATTTTATTGATTTTTTTAATCATGATGTGGATATCACTTGCCACTGTGTGAGTCGGATATTATAATTTGGTTTTGCCACAAAACTTGTAACAAAGCATATGCGATGAGCTTTCTGTCATCCGGACCAACAGGATAGTTACGTAAAAAAAGTTCACAAAGGGACGTTATCATTATATAGAGGTCCTACAAAAGTGTGGAACAATTTTCTGTTATTTGATAATATATATATTGCTAGATTCATGTAAAAGTAAATATGAGTTTTGACAGAAACATGGTGATTGAACATTTGCTATTATAATGTTTAATGCCTCTAAGTCTATTATTTTTAGGTACATTTCATAAACACCAGTTTTCTGGCGCTGAAACGACGGTGCCACTTTAATTAGGGTTTAAGGTTTACCTAGAATGGCAAGTAATAAAGGTAATTGATTGATATATACAATGACGGTCTAAAGCTTGGTCTATTCATGTTCTATGAAAGTCTGAAATGAAAGCTTTGATAAAGGCGACAAATGTTAAATGAAAAAATTTTATACAGAAATAATTTACACTTCATATTTTTATAGAACAAAAATCCAGCCTCAGGTTTAAAGGTCTCTGATGTAACTTTGCTAGATTTGAAAAATTCACATAAGAAAAAATCATTATTGTGATCAACAAGATTTCAATAATATGACCTAATCTTTTATCAACCAACATGGATGTATTATGTGGGATATTAAAATATTTTGGAAGCTTATGACGTTTTGTACCTTTTTTAATACATTTAATACATACTTGCAATTTATATACATTACGTTTTCGATGTTTACAACATTTCGACAATTTAATATTGTGAATCTGTAAGAAAAAAAATGTGAAGACAAATTTGTTCTTCCATGATATTTCGAAAACATTGACCTACTTTGAGGATTAATCCTTTTCTTACCAAACTTACATTTGGTCATAGAAGTATTGTTTATTGGAAAATGCAACCACATCGATGATTTTCCGTCGACTTTTGATAATTAATCAATACAATCCATCTTCTAAGCAAACATAATCTTGAAAGTTCTTTGTAAAAGTAAAATTGTAAATCTCGCCGGTTAGATTTATTGTACGGACAAATAAATAAACGTGATATATTAAGACAATGATTTACGTTTGTTAACTATAACAGTAACAATAAAGTTTAAATTTTTAATACGCTACCACAATGAAAGAAATAGCGGTGGTCGCGAAATACGAAAAAACCTGGGTTTCGGGGATTTGTGTTCTCTATCTCTTCTCTGAAATAACTGCCTCTCAATATGGTTTAGCGCAATCATCAAATATACATCTGACTTTGACTTATTTATTGAGGCGCTTACATCTTTTGGTGTTATTTGTGTGGGAGCTTCTTTCATTGTTCACCTAAGAACAATTCCTTTGCATTTGTTCTGCTCAATTGGATGCACACTAAACTATTAGCCCAACTTTAACGCGCATATTTTGACAGCCTCAATATTGAAACCAAAAAAGCAGGTTATTTAATTTAAATTCTGTCTGATATTATATAGTGTTCAGCCGCCCTGAATACGATCGTTCTGAACTTTATATTTCCCTTTCTGGCGTATGAGTGGACGGAAGTCGACTAATGTTGTGATTAATTTCTTTCAGTCGGGTTTGTTGTAATTATTTATTGGCTGCTTTTCCAGCTCCACAAAGTCACTTGAACTAGCCACAGCAATAATAATCGGAAGATGATTCGATGGAAATGTGTTTCATAATAAAGATAAGTGAAAATTACGCGATGACATCGAAAAATACAGGAATAATCAAGTGAAATTCTTGAAAAACGATGAAATGCTTTTTCTCGAAGTCAAGTAGGACGTACTCGGCCGACCTGCTGAGAACCACCTGCATAAATAAAAACTAACTTTTCGTTGTCTATACATTAATTAGTCTATGTTTACAGTGCGTCGTAAACTTTGTAGGGAAATCTATATTTATCTGAAATCAAGACTCGTACGGCCTGGCTGGGTTTATGTTGGTATCATTGGCGTTTTGCCAGTACACATTGTACTGGCATGTAAGTTTCAATCATCAAAAAACTAGTACAACCATCATGTGACAGTTGGCGTCTCTCAGAGGTAATAATCGTTTATTACTACTGATCGCCGCATTAAAATTCAGTATATGATTGATTCGGGATATTGTTCTATATTTGGGTTCAAGAGAGTATTTTATTGGGTATTCATATTGGCCGATGTACCAAAACCAATATTTGGGGTGGATTTTTTTTTTCATTCATGTCAGATTTGGTCGATTGAAACACTTTTTTGAAATGTTTACAGGCAGTATGCAATTTTAATATTATGCCATTTAAAAGAAAAACATTTCTGTAATTAATTTCTCAAAATCTTAGAAAAATTTATAACATCCACCAAGCGGTACATCGAATTACTTCTAACTGAAACTCAATTAAAGCAAGGTCTCAAAGTTAGATCCTGAGAAATAAGTGGTGGCAAATGCCGATGTTCAGTATCTTATGGAAAAATGTATTGTTCGTCCCAGTGATATCAATCCAACCTTTTACATATAGGGCCCAAATTGGATGGTTCTTGGCTTCCATGTGGGGGCTATACTGTTTCGGATTGCTACCTCATACCATACCTGAACGATTTTTCCATGCCATTATCTGATTCCAGGAAATTTTCAATATTTGATTTGATTTCATTTATCAGTGAACGAAGTAGCGTTTCCAAAAACTGTTGTCATAACCCCGTTTGACCTATTTAAATTTTAAACCAGTAAAGAAAGTCTTCACGTCGGGCGGGGCCGACTTTATGATACCCTACACCAGTTTGCTAATTAAGTAGAGCTCCACATAACAATTAAAAGTTTTTATGGGAGAATTCAATCATACACGCTATGATTATAATTATAATTTAAAGTTCAAAAAAACTAAATATGCCGAAGCATTTGTATCTTTTAAATTCGGAATTGTATTGCCCATTTGGTGCACAATTAATTTGAAATCGGATAAAGATATATATGGGAGCTATATCCAAATCTGAACGAATCTCGATAAAATTTGGCAAAGATATTTCTGAGCTGTATTTGATATATTTCCCCAAATATTGTTGTTGCATAGTGCATATTACGGCGGCGGTGGACAAATATAAAAAATCGGATGAATAATATATATGGAAGCTATAGCTTTATCTGAACCGGTCTTCACCAAATTTGACATACTAGCTTCTAGACTCAATTCGGTCGTAAGTGCCAAATTCCATTCCATTTGGACAAATATTAGACGATTGGTGCACAATAAAAGGTAAATCGGACGAAGTTATATATATGGGAGATATATCCAAATCTGAACCGATCTCGATAAAATTTAGCAAATGTATTTCTGAGCTGTATTTGATATATTTCACCAAATATTGTTGTTGCATAGTGCATATTACGGCGGCGGTGGACAAAAATAACAAATCGGATGAACAATATATATGGGAGCTATAGCTATATCTGAACCGATTTCGATCAAATTTGGCATACATATTTTCAGGCCTAATATGGGTGTATATGCAAAATTCCATACAATTCGGGCTGATATTACACGTTTGGTGCACAATAAAAGGCAAATCGGACGAAGATATATATGGGAGCTATATCTAAATTTTGTCCGATTATCTCCAATTTCAATAGGGTTCGTCCTTGGGGCAAACAAAAGATCTTTGCAAAATTTCATCTGGATCGGGCAATAAATGCGACCTGTACTTTGTTTACAAAAATACATGGACAGACGGACGGACGGACGGACAGACGGACGGACGGACATGCATAAATCGACTCAGA